GAGCAGCTACAGCACCAGCGGGGCCGCCGCATCTATCCTCAGCAACCGCATCTCCTACATTCTCGGCCTCCAGGGGCCATCCATGACGGTCGACACGGCATGCTCATCCTCACTCGTGGCCCTCGACATCGCCGTCTCCAACCTCCGACGAGGCGTGTGCAGCACGTGTGTGGGGGCCGGCATCAACCTGATGCTCAACCCGCAAGTTACGGTGGGGTTCTGCAAGGCGCGCATGATGGCTCCCGACGCCCGATGCAAGGCATTCGATACGTCGGCCAACGGCTATGTTCGTGGTGAGGGTGCGGCCGCCATCATCCTCAAGCGACTTTCCGACACATCCGCCGACTCGGTGGGCGTGTTGGCTTGCCTGAGAGGCACGGCCGTCAACCACGGGGGGAGGGCAGCCAGTCTGACAGCCCCCAGCGGGCCGGCCCAGCAGCAGGTCATCAGGTCGGCGCTGCGCCAGGCCGGCCTCCAACCATCATCAATCGACTTTATCGAGACGCACGGCACGGGTACGTCCCTCGGTGACCCGATCGAGGTGGGCGCGCTCAAGGCCATGTTTGCGGGAGGGCGGGAGTCGGAGCACCCTCTCGTGCTGGGCGCCCTCAAGACCAACATGGGCCACTTGGAGGGAGCGGCGGGTATTGCGGGTGTGCTCAAGGCTGTGCTCGTGCTGCAGATGAAGCAGACGCCCCCCAATCTCCACTTCAGCTCCCTCAACCCGCACATCGACATCGTGGGCCTCCCCGTCGCCTTCCCCACTGAGACCCTCCCACTCATACCGCCGCCCGGCCGGCGGCTCCTCGCCGGTGTGAGCTCCTTCGGATTTGGTGGCGCCAATGCCCACGTCATTCTCGAGGAGGCGCCCGCGGTGGACAGGCCTCCGGCGACCAAGTCCACCAAGGCGGCCAATGTGCCCGTCAAGGCCGAGAAGAAGAAAGTGGCTTTTCTGTTCACAGGCCAGGGGTCGCAGCACCTGGACATGGGCAAGGAGCTGTACGAGAACGACAAGGTGTTCCAGCAGAGCCTGGACCAATGTATCGGCATCCTTGACCGCTATCTGGCGCCCATCAAGGCTCTCGACGTCCTCTTCCCAGGCGACGACCAGGAG